TATATAACTATAAATAGTAGCAGCAGTAAATCCTTTTTGATATACAATTATTTGTGAATTAAAGTATGCTGAAGTGTTTCTAGTATGTGCTGCATGTGTGTTTGTGATGTAAAGTATGTGTGTGAGTGTGATTTCTCTCTCTCTCTCTCTGTGTGTGTGTGTGCGTGTGTGACATACATGCACAGGTTCCTACTATCCTAAGAGTTAATTAATAGTTAATTAGAGCCACATTATTAAGAAACTGGCAGCATCTGTATCAGGGTGTGTCTCTCTCATTGTGTCTTCCTACCTCCATGACACTTGACTCTGCAGTCCACCCTACCTAAAGATTAATTGCATACTGTAAACTTATGTAGGCTACTGTATGCGTGCTCAATGTTTTATTTTAATATATGACTATCTACATATTCAAAGTAAAGTTCACTACAAATGTCTATAGTACTATGGCTATTGCTATAGGTGTTTGATGTGTTAGACCAGTGTTTCCCAACTGGGGTGCCGTCTGTCGAGAGCAGGGGTGCCGTGTAAAAAATAATTTTTTAATATTTTTAAATTGCTAAAATGCTCAAAAAAGCATCTATTATATAATATCCATTTCTGATGTCGCCAGTGCAAGCGATAAAAACCCGTCCTATGCGCTGTTGGCCCGTAAAAACAATTTTATTTATATATATTTAGAAAAAATCTGACCGGCCCATATTAAACAAAATGGTCCGGCCCCTCTGGCATTTGCCTGAATTGCCAGATGGCCAATCCGCCCCTGCCTACCGTATTGCAACGCATCAAAGCAGTCAATCCAACACAGTCAAGAATAACTTAAAGAGGTTGCCACCATTTAGTAAACTGTGGACTAGCTTTGGCTCTTCCTCCTGACTTGAATGGTGATGCTTCCCGTTTGTCAGTTGATGGCCTTTCATTTTTAACCAGATATGTGCACGCTGCTTTTCTGATGTGAACTTAAGTTTTCCGTGTCTTTTTTCCCGTGTCACTTGAAATGTTTCCGTTTTGAATCGTTGTTACCAAAGGCGAGACACATGAGGAAAAAATAAACGATCAGTTGTGGGACTATATTCTGTCATAAATCGCACACCATTCATTGCTGAATTTTCTACCGTCCGTTACTGGAAATTAAATGAAATTACTGGTTGATATGTCTATCGGTAAAGTTTACACACACTTTTGGTCCGTGAATTAGATCTCGCTCGGGACGTCCGCTGGCTGTGGAGGTTTGGCCAGGACCGGTTCCAGAATTAAATCAACATTTTATGTTCCGTCCATTGCCAATCACTGCTATTTCGAGACTGAATCCCGCATAAATATGCGGATGTCATTCCCGAAACTTTGCAGGGTGTAGCCTAAGTGTTCGAAAAACGAAAGTTTCATACAAATTCCGAATGGATTATACCCTAGAAAGTGCCAAAGCGCGCTCCCTTTATCACTAAAAAGCATCACTCATCTTTGTTCATCGCGATCTTACAAAGTTCCATTATGATCAATGAAGCTCTCTAAACTGCACAATGAATCTCTTATTTACATGCGTCTTTTGCCCTCCAGGTCTTCGAGCCGGTCACGTGACTGAAAGCTATGAATTAAGCTCTCTAAACTGCACAATGAATCTCTTATTTACATCGTGTCTGCACTTAGTCATGAGATGATTCACGAGCGTGCAAAACTGCACTTAAAAACTGTGGCGCTTTCAGTGGTGAGTGAATTCTGACAAAACGTTTCTGATTGGCCATTGCGTTCAAGAAATCAACATATATGTCTGTGATTGGTTACATTGCTCAACACTACAAAAACACGTTGAGGGTATTTAGCGCTTTGGCTAAGCAGCGGGCCGACATCAGGAATTCCATGACAAACAATTGTTAGTGAGTTACAATTAACTCCCCCCAAAGCAACTTACAAATGAGGACAATGGAAGCAATCAAAATCAGCAAAAGAGCAGTGTTAGAGGTCTTTTTTGCTTTTGTTAATTGTATAATAAATGAAAAGAAAACAGATAGAATACAAAAAGATTAGAAAGCAAGTTTTAGTTTTTTCTTTTAAAGAAAATAAGCAACAAATGAATAATGTTCATTTCAATAAAGTGTTTTTTATTTTTTTTATTTATAATTTTTTTTTAAGAATAGAATTAAAATAGAGAGTGCTAGAGTTAGAGGGTCACATAAAGATGGAAGAGATGTGTTTTTAGCCGATTCTTGAAGATGGCTAAGGATTCAGCTGCTCGGATT